ATCCTCCCAGGTCTGGAAGCTGGGGAGAATCATGCTGTTTTACCAACAAGGAGGCTGAGGCTCAGGCAATTAAGTGACTTATTCAACATGCACAGTTAGCAAGTGACAGAGCCAGGGTGCACAGGCAGAATGGATGAGAGGAAGAGTTTCTCCTAAGACGAAATTCCAGGCCCCACTCTTCCTGACCTTCCACTTTAGCCAGACACCTTGGCCCTCTTCCTTCATGTCCGCCTGGGAAGCTTCCTCTTGAGAGCCCTCCCGTAGTTCCTGGGCCCTACCCTGTCTAGCATTAGCCACAACTGTGTAGAAATTCCCTGTATAGGAATCTGCTCCCCACATTTGGCAGTGAGCGTCTTGAGAGGCAAGGCTCCTGGTAAAGAGTTGACACCAAGGAATATTTGCAGAGGGCAAGAGGAAACTGATTCTTTTTTTATTTTTTATTCTTGGCAGTATGGGGGCTTGAACTCAGGACCTCATGCTTGCTAGGCAGGCGCTCTACCACTTGAGCCACTCCATCAACCCTTTTTTGTATCGGGTATTTTCAAGATAGGGTCTTGCAAACTCTTTGCCTGGATAGGCTTCGAACCACAATCCTCCTGATCTCTGCCTCCTGACTAGGAAGGATTATAGGCGTGAGCCCCTGGCACCCGGCAGAAACTGATTCTTATAGACCTGGACTCAACTGTCGCAAGACTGGCTGAGTCAAAGTTCTAGAACACGGAGAGGGCAAGGAGAGCAGAGAGTTGCTACTTGTCATGCAAGGGGCAGTAGAGTCTGCTGGCAAAATGTAGTGGGCTGAATCAGGCCTTACTTGAATCTTAACTTCACCATGAATTTGCCACTTGCCTTTGGGCAAATTGTTGGCATTCCTTAGGCCCCCTAAGTTCTCTCAAATCTAAATTTTGTGTAATTGTGGGTTACCAGTCAACAGCAAAGCACCAGTACAGCCATCCTGGTAGCTGAATAACATAGAACACTCCTTTACAGTAGAGAACTAAAGTACTTCTTTGAGCCCTCCTTTGTCCCCCTTTCCCCCCAGGCCACCTGTACTCTTGCTCTGGGATGCCCCTTCCCCCAGTCCAGCAACCACCTGGCATAACAGAAGGGCCCCTCTCCCCTCTCCTTCAGCTCTGCAACTTGTCAGGGTTATTAAGTATTTTGCATATAACCCTTTAATAGTATTTCATGGTGAAGACAAGATGGGTTTATACAAACAAAGCACTTAGCACAGCTGGCAAACAGTGAGTGCTCAATAAATGTCAGTCACTGTTGTTGGTGATCTCCAGTGACTCTGACACATCTGAGTGTTAAGTGGTCCCTGAGGCCTCAGGGCCTCAGGATGAAGGTATGACCTATCTGCAGACAGCACAGCCTCCATTAGAGTCTTGGGGTTCAATACTTTTTCCAAGGAGTACAATGTCTGCAGCCAGACTCTTGGTGGCCATGAACCTACAGGCTAGGCTGAGGCACCTCAGAAAGGTCTGGGAAATTTGCTTAGAGACTTGGCCCTGGTGCTCCTGGAAGCCCAACTGATCCCTTTTTGGTGACAACAGGAGCAGAAGCAGCTCTCCGCACTGCCTGCTGAGCAGCACTCACACTCCACTGCCATGGAGACTGGGCCCTGCCCCTGTGGCTAGAGGGCCACCTTGTGGCTGCTTCCATCCACCAAGGCAGGGGGAGCAGCAGCACTGGCCACCTGCCTCTCTATCTGATGGCCATTGCTGCCTTCCCTGTAGCTGTCACTGCCTTCTCCCTATTGTGGCAACAGGGACAGGATGACAGGAAGGCCATGCCTAGATGTTATGTCATCATCAAGGACCCGTGGAAGCATTATAGCTCCTATCCTTGTAGCAACCCTGAACTCTAAGACAACACCTCCTGGAGACACCTAGACTCTAGGGCAAAAATCAAATCCTCTATGACAAATCACCCTGGATCCTGTAACAATGGAATCCCATGGCAATGCCCAAACATAGCAACCGGAACCGCCTGGGGGCGTCCCAAAGGAGCAGTGAATATGAAGGCAGATTGCAGGTGGCTCAATGGTGGAGTGCTTGCCTAGAATGCACGAATTCCTGTGTTCAATCCCCAGCATTGCCAAAAAAAAAAGGGTAAAGGCTTGAGCCCAGGGTAGAGGCACCCTTATTCCCTGTGGGCCCTCCTACCCCAGGGCAGCCTGCACCCTTCACTCTCTGAAGGACCATCTACTCTGAGACTCCAAGCCAGCCAGCCCCAATCTTGTCCTATCTTTATTCAAACAAAGCTGGGTTACTGGAATGCCTTCTCCCATTATGCCGAGAGTTTGACTCCTTTAAATAGCTCCCAAACTTCCTGCTGCCTTCAGGAAGGATTCCTGGACTGAACAAGTATCTTAGGAGCTGAAATGTGGTCGTCATTCTACTTATGTCTGCTTCAAAAGTGCATGTGATTGAAAAACTCCACTGTCTAGTTTCAAACTGCTTAATGTCTGGGCTCTGCTGTATGTCGCCTGGTTTATCCTTTGTGGATTTGCCTTCAGCAGGGCCACAGCCCTGGAGAACCAATCTCTGGTCAGAGCAGAGCATTGCTCCTCAGGCAAGGGACCTAATCAGAGCTGCTGCTACTCAAAGGGACAACCTCTGAACACACAGGCTCCTCTCCTTGGGTGTCTCCCATACCCACACTGCAGAAGCTATAGAACAATCTTCCTTCCAGCAAAAAAGATGGAGAACTGATAGTCACAGTCAGTGACCTCTCCCAGGAGGGAAGAGACACAGAACTGTTTGGGGGATCCTTTGGGGTGAACCTCTATTGCTCTCTCCATTTAAGTGTCTGTCCAGAACCTACAGCCAAGTCAGCATACTCATTCCTATCAGTCTTCATGTCTCCCCAACCTGTTTCATCTCCATTTTGGTCTCCTTTCCCACTTTTCCTCCAGTCAGACAGGACCCCACCATCACGCCCCACACTTACCTCCTCCCTTCCTTTATGAGTCCCTTGTGTCTCTGCTGCCAGAATCCCACCCTCCTTTCAAAACTACATCAATCCTATAGAGCATCCCCTTCTTACCCTCTCCCCTCCCCAAGGATTCTAGCTCCAGGTGGCCTCGCCCTCCTCCTTGACCTTTCTCACTTTTTCACAACACTGGCCACATTCTGTCTTGTACTAGAATGAGCACGGATGTACTTTCTCTCCTCATCTAGTCTGTAAGCTAGCAAGCAAGCTCAAACCCTCAATAAAAGCTCAATAAAAGTGTGGTTTGCCCACACTTCATAAGGTGCTCCAAATTAAATGGAATCAATGTTTGGGGGAGGCTTGCGGCCCCAGGAAGTAGTACATCCCAGGGGTTAAATTCCCCTGTTGCTCATTTGTTTTACTGCCTTTGGGCAGGTACTGAAAACAGTGCCTCAGTTTCCTCATTTGTAAATACCAGGATCATGGGATTATTCTGAGCATTAAGTAACTTCTGATACAAAAGGAATAAGAACAATGTGCTCAGACATCAAATGATTGATAAATGTTATTATTAGATTTTTGGAGTTTTTTTCCCTGCCTGGGAAGAGTCAGATACCACTGTCCTAGGAGGTAGCTCCTCAGAGTAGGGTTGTTGGTCTCCTAGGTCCTGTGGCACCTTAGGGACTCTGAAGAGAGAAGGCAGGGTTTTCTGGATGCCTGGCTGTCAGCTTTCCCAAAGGGGAAGAGCCTGTTTAATGGGTCACCAAGGGCAAAGCGGCCTGTATCTTAAGAGTCTGAGAAGTAAGCAGCACTTATAGTGCTTTTCTGGGAAAGAAGCCAGGAGTCTGGACCTTGCAGTTTCTGCCTGGGGGTCTGGTTGGGGAAAGTTGTTCCACCATGGTCATATTTCAGATACTTCTAAGTTGGTCAGGCTCTTTTGCGTATATACACACGCACACACACAGGTATAAATGCACCTTAGTGAGTGCATATGTGCTAGAAGTGAGTGAGGTGCAAGTATTATATGTGCTGATCCATGTAAACACATACCATCTACTGTACATCCTGTGTTCACACCCTGACACCCAACCTAAACCAAGTTCTAGGAGTGGATGCTACATGTGCATCCACTATTAACCTAATACTGCTCCTCCCATCACACTTGCCTCAATCTTGCTCTGAGCTTTTGCTGTCTTACTACTCAGCCCGAGGCTACCATTTACAACCCTGGCTCTCCTTGCCTAGAGCTTATGACAGCCAATCTCCTAGACCAAACTACACCCAACAGCAATAGTCAAACAGATAACCTTCAGGAGAACGCTGGGACTCCACAGGGACGGGCAGTGGGAGTATTCACAACATACTAGGGCTTGGATCTTCCCTTGTTCTTGGTTTCCACATCCCCAAGCCACAGGAGTAGCACCCTGAGAAGCCTAGAGCAAGAGCTGCCACCCAGAAATTAGAAGACTTTGCGGAGAAACCGCCCACTCTGGTGGCCCTGAAATGTATCATCGAGATGTCTAAAATAGATTCTAGAATGGCTCAGGCCAAGGCCCAGCCCCTGCTGAGCCCTGGCTGCCTTGCTGAGGTTTGGCTGGAGCCGTGTCAAACTCGAGATGTACAGCAGTGCTGACAACAGAGTCTGGAACGTGCTGGAGCCAAAGCTCTCGGGTGAGCCTATAACCTGCAAAAGGGCTGTGCTCCACCCTCTTGACTCCCCATCTTAGCACCAGATCCAGATGAGGATTCTAGACTCTCAGCAGGTCCTCACTCTCCTCTAATGGGAGCTTCCCACTTTTGCAGTTTACACCTCCATAAGCTATGGACAAAAAAAAAAAAAAATCTGGGAGAAAGAGGTTTATAATAAAGATGCCAAGGCCCCCAGTAAACCCAACTTATCCCAGGCACACACTGCTGTGTCCACGCCAGACAGCCATGCCAGACACACCGCTGGCACAGTTCTATTCCTGCATTAGCCTTCAGTGGGGAGGTATAAATAGTTCCTGGGGCATCTTCCCAGTCGGTACCCTGTTCTCTGCTGGTCAGAAGAAGGCAGAGACCTGGGCTCACTGGATGAAGTAGAACTGAACCCAGGAGGCTCTGATGTCCTGCTCCAGGAGAAGCAGTGTGAGGGAAGGTGTGGGAGGTGGTGTCTGCCTGGAGACAGTCAAGGGGCCTACAAGGGAGCCCTGCCCATGCAGGGCAGTGAGCTGGGTCTGGCTGCCTGGCCCTTCCTGTCAAGAGAGAGAAGGCTGCAGGCTCCCAGGACATCAAAGGCATCTGGGTAATCTAAACAGAGTGTGGGGGGAGGTCAGCCAGCACAAATTAAAAACAGGTGGCATCCATTTCCCCTCTGCTGGCTGGCTAGCACAGGGATCCAGGCAGAGAGAGATGGCTGCGAGTACAGCTTCTGGGTTAGGACAGGAGAGAATGCAGCCAGGTGCTATGAGTCCCCAGCAGAGTGTCACCCCAAGATGCAGATATTATGAGGAGGGCAGAATATGATCCAGGTGAGGAGCTGGACTCCACTAGGCCTGGCAACCAGGTGAACAAGTTAGGCTTCTCCCCCATCAGGTCTTATTTTGTTTTGTTTTTTAAAAAATGACAAATGTAAGAAAAATGAAAGGCAAGGGCAAAAGGAGAGAAGATGGATGGAGTTTGATAGGTTTGATAGGTGTCTGATCTCAAATGTAAGAAATCTGTGAAAGGCAAGCTAGCTTCATCTGTAAATATCTGTAGAGCAAATATGGACCATGGGTGGAAATTCTCAACAGATAGAATCTTGGCTCAACTAAAAAAAAGATCTTTCCAATAATGAATGCTTTCCAGGGAAATAAGGTAGTGAGCCCTCTGTTATGAGGAGTGTGTAAACAGCACACCCACCTGTGATGCCGCAGAGGGATTAATTTCAGCTCTAAGTGGGTGGCTCAACCAGACAATTTCCATGCTTTGGTCCTATGAAATCCCAGAGGGTGAGGGAGGAGTGCGCTGCAGAAAGGAGGGGACTTCATCTCTCTGGCTGTCCCAGGAGACATAGCAGCACACTGCAAAGGTGGCTCAGCAGGCTGCTGAGTGGTAGGTTTGGACCCTGGCGGCCCTGTGCAGCCTGGTCAGTGCAGCACCAATTCTGCCGGAGCTCCATGAGTAACTGCCTCGTCGGCCCCTGGGTCAGCGGCTGCAAAGGGTGGGCATGTGTGTGGAGGGAGGGCACAGCAGGGAAGGAAGGGTAAGACTGGCAGTTAGCAGAAGGGACCATCCGGTGTTGGCAGCCTGGGGTAGAGGGCAGGCCCAAAGCAAATTGGGCAGAAGACAGGTGGAATAAGAGGGAAGGATCAGGAAACACCCAGGGTGCCAGGTGACTTGGTTCCATTCATTTCAGGTGTAGAAGGGGCCTGTGGCCTGGGCTTTGAGCCACCAGTGATGGAAAGGGTATCTCCCCGTGTCTGTTTATGCTTTAGGGATGCAGAGGTGCTCTGGGCATGTCTGCTGTCTATACCTTCTCCTCAGAGTGGAGGGCCTGCCCCTAAGACCTACTCATCCATCCACGTGTCACTCTCAAAGGCAGAACTCAGGCTATCTTATGAGGAGATCAGTTTGACTGCAGCTATCCAAACAAAGCAAGGGTCGGAGCAAAGGAACAGGACTCCCTTGCCCATTCTTTGAGTAAGGACCCAAGTCTGGTCTTGAACATGGCAGAGAAAGAAATCTCCCCAGAGCTAACCCTGAAGAGGGCAGGGGGCCTCAGATTCTAAGGTTCTGTGGCGGTTTTTGCTCCACACAATACACACTCACCTGCAGGCCCTGCACCTTATCAGAGCTCCCTTCAGCCACCTCCAGCCCCACTGCAACTGCTCAGGGGAGGCAGATGTGAGCTTCCTCCATTCTCTCCTGCTCAACCCTGGGAAGCCCCTGAAAGTGCCAACAGGGCTCTGGATGGAACCACTGGTGCTGGGGTTCTGTGTGACCTTGCACACATACCTGTCTGCTCTTCTATCCACTCTGTCCCCAAAGCACTGAATAATAGAGCGAAAAGTGACAGTGAAGACATTCATTCCCCCTCTACTCAAAGCATCCCATACATAGCACATTTCTGAAGTGGCTCCCTTCCCAGCCTCCCCGAAGTCTTACAGCAACCCAGTGGCTTAGCAGTGGATAGCCTCTTGCCTTTCTTCCTCATTTCTATTTGGCCAGTGCTTCTGAGGGCCTAACTTCTCTATGGGTGCCAGACACCTTCTGTGAAGAAGTGAAACTAGGGACTTTAAATTCCTGGGATCTTTTGCACACTGACTTTGGGCTGTCTTAACTGCTCCATTTTGTCCCCTTTCCTTGGAAGGTTGAAGCGGGGAGAAGCTGAATGTTTGGGGGAGTCAAAAAAAACTTGACTTCACTTGAAATCTTTAGGCCCAGGGCCAGTGAGGAGGAGGTATGGCTTGGGGTGTTATTGCAGTAGTTGACTGGCCTGCATAAATATAAGCTCTCTTTAAGCCACTGGGGACATTTTCAAGGTCTAATGGTCACATCCATCATTTCAGGATAAGGATGAGCTATGGGAGGGTCTCTTCCACTCACAATTGGGGAAACTGAGCCTCACAGGAAGACCCAACGCTTAGAACTTCTGGACAGGGACTCAAGAACAAAGCTTCCTGCTCAGACCCAGACCTGGGGCACATGGCCTTCCTCCAGGAACCAAACTGCCCATGTGGACTATCAGGCTAGGATCCCAAAGTGTCTCATTCCTAGAATTGGCATATTTCCCCTGGGACCCACCCCCTCAGTCTTCTAAGTTTTTAGGGTCTCTACTGGGACCCTGGTTACTTGGCATCTTCCAAGGTGAGGAAAGGACAAGGAGTCTGCCTAGACCATCTGGGCCCCAGCTGATTTCTGGGAAGGGGATGATCAGGTTTCACTTCTTCCCTTTATTCCTAAAGGCTCTCTTTTGGGGCTGCCTTACCTCCCCCTCCCCCACCCTCCACCTTAGAAATTGGGTCTTGACAGCTTCTTGGATCTGAGATGGTACGAGGGAGTGAGTATAATCAGACATGTGTCTTTAGCCACTGTCCTGACACATCAAGTCAGATTTCTTCTCCCCAGAGGCTACTCTCTTCTCCACCAAGGGCCCTTCCTGAACCCTGGGAGGCTGATGTACTCAACTGTCCTTTTCACCCAACCCATTCAGTCCACTTTTCACCCCACCTTCACACAGGAGAAAAGGTTGGCCTTGGAGTCACCAGCTGCCCCAATCACCTGATTCCAGGCACTGGTTCCTAGGGCCTGGATGACACCTGACCTTGATCCTCTCAGCTGGAGATAGCCCAGAAATCTTGGCAGACTTCCCACCCCTCCCCCACATGAGAGTGAAGCCCCTTGACTCTCTGTGGGTTCATTAGGGCAGCTCTGGTGGCTCAGGCCCAGCAGATCTGGCCTTGGCCAGGCCCCTCTCTGTCTGCCACCTCAACCCCCTCAATCAGGTGTCCTAAGAAGAGCTATCCTGAGAATTCAGAAGTGCAGTCTTCCTGCCACTGTCAACTCAGAGGTGACAGGCCCTCACCCTTTTGACTCTGCATTTCCCCAGTGAGGAAGTGGAAGAGGTGCTCCCACTTTACCCCATGGTTGCCGAGAGGTTTCATGGAAGTGTGCTTGAAGAAATGACAAGTGCCAAGCAGAAATAAGGCACCACAGCTCAGCTTCTTCCCCTCTTCCTCATCCCCAGCCCCAGCCAGCTCTAGGACTACCTGTCAGGGTTTCTGTGGTGACCCCTAAGCAACTAAGAGACCTTTGATTGATGGCTAGATCCTGAGGCAACGGGAGGACTGAGAAGACCAGAACAGCTAAGTCACCTCAAAGAGGGGAAGCCTTGACCTTGAAAACAGGTCTGTGCCCTCTGTTTGGTACCCCACACTCTCTTTCCCTGCCCAAGGTCCCTTTCTCTCTCACCATCCTCAGTACCTCAGAAAACGTTCATCCTCAGTCAGTCTCAGTCATGGTATGATGACCACCTCCTCAAAGGAGCCTGAAGCAGGTCTCCCCTTCCCAGTCTCTCTGCAGCACAGACCAGGTCCAATTTCTCCATAGACCTCCTCTGTGACTGCAATTACTGCATTTATTTTTCCCTGACTGCCTGTCTTACCTCATTGGGCTGCAAGATCCTTGAGTGGTAGGGCCTCTGACAGGCTCAACAGGCAGGGAGCACAGGGTGGCCCGCTCCCTTTGAAGGGTGAGGCTGCCCTGTCACTTCGGCACACCCCTCCCCCATCCCTGCTTTTCCCTGCTGAGGCCGGCTTTCAGGAGGGGCTCTCTTGGGACAAGGTTGCTTCACCCCTTTTGCCCTTGTCCAGCCCCCTAATTGCCTCTGCTAAACCCATTTGCGGCCTCCTATGTAAAGATGGGTTCTCAGATGGGCCCAATCCTTGCGCCTGCTTTCCGTCCCAGGAAGACTGTAGCGATCCAACCGTTCTCCTTCAGCTAGGCATTCTCCAGGAGCATTGGGGCGAGCTCGCCCATCCATCTCCACTCCTCTCCTCCATGGGTCACCGGACCGCTGCCCATCACTCGGCCCCGCCCCTTCCCAGCCCCCAGCAGGGCTGGCAGCCTGCAGGATACCGGGGAAACTCGGGTCCCTTGGCGCGGTGCCTGAGGACGCACATCCTAGCCACCGCAACAAGTACCGCAGCCACGGCTGCTCGCCAGGGCTCCAGGCCTCAACGCCGTCCTCCCATGGCCACAGCACGGCCCGTGAGAGCTCCGAGGCACGGCAGCCTGTGTCCAGCACATCTTCGATTTATCCCCCTCTGAGGGCACAGAGCTCTAAGAGAAAGCAAGCACGGTTCCCGGCCCGCTCTGGGTTTTTTTTTTTTTTGCTTGGACCGTTCAGGCTTGGAGAACAATGGAGCAGCTCTCTCCGCTTCCTCAGCTCGAGCTAGCTTTGTTCCTCCCTTCCCGCCTGCTTGGCTTCTATTAGCCAAAGGGCAAAGGCTTCGCTGTCAAACAGGAGTCTCGGCGCAAAAGCCCAGACCTTTCCCTAAAAGACCTGGTTGGGGGGGAGGGGAGTTGGGACACAGCCTGAGCTGAGGAATAGGACCGCATCCAGATGCGCGCAGCTGGCTGCCCGCCCGCCCCTTGGCCTCAGACGCTTCTTGCCAGATCCCCCACACCCGGGAAATCCGACTTGCGCTCCCACCCGGGAACCACAGAGGAAGTGGAGCCTCAGCTCTGCTCCAGAGCCAACTGGCCCTCACAACTGCTCTCCCCACATCTGTCTTCTGGATCTAGGTTCTCACCGGCACGGCCCTAGCAATGCTGGATGCTGTCTTGTCCAGCGCAGACCACTCCACAGCTGAGGTCTCCACCAACCCCACATTTTGCCATATTATGACTCTGGACTTTAAAATTCGAGAGAGCCAATGGCTCTCTTTTTGAGAACCGAAGTCCCCCTCCTCATTGCCCAGCCTCACCTCAGGCAGGCCAGAGCTGAGCCAGGGCTCCCACCCAGTAACATCTTTAAAACACACTTTAGCCAGGCAAATCTGGAGATAGGCCAGCTCTGCACATCTGGGCGCAATGCCCCTCCTAACCTGACGGGTGATCAGGAGAGCCCTACAGAGAGGGGGGAGGGGAAGAAACATCGCTTACCCCCACCTCTCCCTGCAGCTGGCCAAGAGAAAGCCAGGGGCGGGGTGGGGCGGGGCGGCAGGACTTACCCAGCATCTGGCTGAAGAGCAGCTGCTCCAGGTCCCCCAGCACGGTTACCACAAGCTCTGGGTCCACCTTGAGGAAGGCGCGCTCCTCCTGGCCCTTTGCGGAGGGCACAGGCCCGGAGCCCTTTTGCGCCTTGGCCTTGCTAGAAAGCAGCTCATCATCCGATTTGCCGTCGTCGCTCACCGCCGCCTCAGGAGCCTTGCTTAGAGGTTTGACCTCTGCATAGGGTCCGCGCGGGATCCGGCTTGGTTTTCCCAGGCTGGGCGCTAGCGGAGCCAGGGGGGTCTTAGTGCCACCCGCTGGGCCACCCTTGGCCTGGAAAAGCGAGTGTTCTGACTTGGACAGTGTCTTGGACATCAGCGGAGCCTCGCGGCCCTTGGACCCCATCTTGCCCAAACCCTTGGGTGCCTTGGCCATATCATCGCTCCACTCGGGCTCATAGAGCTGCAGCTTTTTCTCGGAGTCCGTAAGAAATGAGAGGTTGGTGAGCGACTTCTGTTTGCGGAGGTTGGAGGCGGGTGGGCCGCTGGGGACACGGCTGTCCACGCTGCCGGACTTGAAGACCTTCAGTTCAGCCGCGCTGGCCTTGGCCATACCGCCTCCACTGCCCGGCGCCTTGGCGCGCTTGGGCAGCATGCCTCTGCCTTCCGCCGCTGCAGCCTTCCTGCTGGCTCCCCGTGGCTCGTCCGCGCCCTCGTCGCCGCCGCTGCCGCTCAGCTCCACCTCGGGCTGCACGCTCTTGACGCTGCTGCCCAGCATTCTGCCCGCGAGGAGCGCATGGACGATCCGCGCGTCTGCAGGCACTGGGCGGGGGAGGAGGGGGCGGGAGGGCCGGGAGGAGGAGGCGGCAGAGAAGGAGGGGGAGAGAAAGGACGGAAGAAACCGAGGAAGAAGGGGAGAGGAAGGGGGAGGGAGCAAGGCGGGGAGAGGCAAGCAGAGGGCGCAGGGGAAAGAAATACAGGGAAGGAAGCCGGGGAAAAGGAAAGAGCAAGGAAACCGCGGAGAGGTGGGGCGGGGTCGGAGGAAAAGGGGCGGGGCGGGGAAGATACAGATTAAAAATTTTGAATCAGTCAATAGAAAAATGGAAGCCACGCGGCTCCATCGAAGCCGCGAGGTGCTGTGGTGCCGGAATCCGGGCTCTCCGGCTGGCCTGTCTATCTGTCCCGCGGCAGCGCCCTTGCCGCACTCCGCCCGCCAGCTCGAGTAGAGAGACTGCGGGCTGCAGCTCCGAGCGGAGGAAGGAGGGGAGGGGGAGGCGGGGAGCAAACAGGAGGAGGGGAGGAGTGTGCGCGAGAGGAGGGAGGTGGGAGAGAGAGAGTGTGTCTATTTCTGGCTCGGGAGGGGGACGTATCTGCAAGCGAGCTCCAGGGGCGGATGAGTGGGGGGTAGGGGGACACATAAATGATCCGACCAGTTTTTCTCCTCGTTTTCCACGCAGAGATGGGTCGGGTTCTAGCAGGGCACGTGTGGTCCTCTGCAGCATCCGGGAAAGGATCGGTTGAGGAGATGTGCGAATGCAGGTAAAAGAGACTGAGAGTGGGCATCTCGGTAAAGAGGGGAGAGAGTTGACCCGTTGAGCCTGGGAAAGACGATGTGGAGCCCCAGGGAAGTTCCCTGTCACCTACCCAAACCACCCTCATTTCCGCCACCCCCGGAAACTCTCATCCTACCTTACTTCAGTCTCTGGGGTGCAAGGTTGCCCTCCTGAGCCCAGAAGGTAGGGGACAGAGCACAGGAAAAGGGTGGTTTGGAAAGATAGGAACTAACCCTTGGGATGAGGAGACTGGATTTCTGTTCTAGTTGACTACATGACCTTGTCAAAGTCATTGAACCCCTCTCGTTTTCTGTCCTCACAGGGGTTATAATACAAACTTGCTGGGTGAAAAGGCTTTGGAACTGCAAAGCCAGAACTCAGGAGGGGACTTAACATTGGTCCCTTGCCTGCCATAGCTGAAACTGGAGTTGTGGATCCATTTTAAGGACTCTTTTTCCCTCCCCTCCTATCTGGGCCCAGGGAAGAGGAATGGGGTGGAGGGGGAACAAGAGACAGATGGAGTGTGAAGCATTTTGCCTAAACTGTCATTCAGTAGAGGGTGAGGCACTGCCTGTCTTTCCATGGCCTTCCAGGTCAGTGCCAGGTTGCCTAAACCAAATGCTCTTGGGAGAGGACAAGAGAAAACTGGAGGGGAATCTCTGAAAGCAGGTCTGCTTCAGGAAGGACAGGCTCCAGGTGCATCTATCAGCTAGGGATGATAAAGCCATAGGAATTGTGCTGGAATGTAACCATCAGACTAATCCTCCACACACCCATCCCCAACCTTCATCCTTCTAGCTCCTCCCCTCTCTTCCCCTAGCACTAACTCTCTGGTCTGCCTGGAGTGAGAGATTCTCATGCATATATCTGCCTCCCCCACCAGCCCAGGAGCTCTCCTAGCATAAACTGTCTCATTGCGCTTGCATGGAACACATGTTGTAGTTGCACTGGTTAAGTAGGTTTTGATTCAGAGGCCTGAGTGCTGCACATTGGGTTCTGTATCCTTCAGGACTCTCAGGTCCTGACAGTAGTCTGAGACTCCCAGCCTTCCAGTCTCAGCCTTCTGATACCCCAGGGCTGGACTGAGATACCATGAAGTTTTCAAGGACCAGCATCATGGCGAGGCTGTGCCTCCCACAGCACTGAGGACACAGATTCTCAAACAGAGAGGTGTTTGGTAAGAAGCATGGACCCTTGGCTGGCCTTAGAGTTATAGAGAAAGATGAACATTCTGCCCTCAAGGAACTCAGTGTCTGGCAGGGAATACAAGGTAGACAATACAAGACTGGGGAAATAATAACCCTGGCCTGTGAAATGCAATGTCACACACATTCATCATGAGTACACAGGCATGGGGGCTATATTCTAATTACAGGAATGACAAGAGGCATTGCCTCAAAGGAGTGGAGGAAGGAAGTGAATGCAAAGATTCACCAGCAGGTTCTGTGTCAGAGGTTATAAGGCAGACTGTCTCAGAGGCGTGGGTTCAGACCTTAGGAAACTCAGGGGTGGAGCCAAGGCTTGTGAGTTCACATGGAAAGTGACAAGCAACAAGGAGCCATTTAAAGGTATGTAAGTAATGTCATTCGAGCACTTGGCCAGGCACAGAGGGTGCCACAGAAAGAGGCCAATCATGGGACACGTGAGTACTCCCAGTTCAAGCGAGGGATCAAGACCCACCCTTGGTGCTAAACCTTTCACAACCATGCCTTTACTTCCCCATCCTACAGGCCACATATAATACTGTCATAAACCAACACTTTCATTGTGTTTTGTTTTTTGAGACAGGTTTTTGTTCTGTAGTCTGAGGTGGTCCTCCTGCCTCACCCTCCCAAGTGCTGGAATTACAGACAAACCATCACTATTAAAGTCCTCATCACTTTTTCTTTTTTTCAGTACTGGGGCTTGAACTCAGGGCCTCATGCCTGCTAGGCCATCACTCTACCACTTGAGCTACTCTGCCAGCAAAGTCCTCATCCTTACTCACCAGACATTCTCTAATTTATACCAGCTGCCTCTATGGGAACCTCACCTTTCCTAAAAATACAGCAGTTTGGGAATCTGAGAACATTTGTTGTCTGAACTATCAGGTTCCAGTAGTTCTTGCCTATGATCTGTAGGTTCTCTTCCTGTTTGTAAATTTATCTCCTCCTTACAAAAGGAAATTAACTGGTTACCATCCTGGCTGAACAACACTGCCTTCTGCTGAGACACATTCCACTGGGTATCCACTGCTGCAGGCAAAACTGTGCTCCTCCCCTGGCTTAATCTGGCCCTCCATCTCTGGTATCCATGTCTGTGGGTTCAAGTTCTTACAGTTGCTCTGAAACACTGTTCCACTTGTTGCTCTGCCCACCTGTACTTCCTTATCTCCGGATGCCCGCTGCCCCCAGGACCTGACCTTCTTTCCTCCCTGGTTGTCTCAGGCCCTCATTCAATCCTGTATTTCAACCTAGTCCCTCCCCTTCTCTGTAGTCTTGGTTCCTCTGTACCTCCTCTCAAGGGACAGCTATCATATTTCCCAAATCCCAAGTCCTTTTCCTACCATCAATAAACAGCTCCTGAAATTCTGCTTCTTTTAAGAAAAGAGAAAGTTGTTCAGAAGAGAGGCACAGCCCCCTCCCCACCACCCAAACCTAGGGTGCCCAACACCCTCCTGCATGACATGCCACCTGTCCGTTTCTGAGGTAGAAAATGCTGTCTCTGTAAACCGCAGGAGTTAACAGTGCCAGGCCCCTTGAGTACCAGCCCTCAATCTTCCATTACTACAGCTGGCCTTCGCCCTGTCATTCTTTTAAGGGTTTTGCAATGGCCAGGTAGTGGTTCCTTTAAATAATCACCTTGGCATCCTGGAATGTTCCAAGAATCCGTAATATGACTTCTCTGGCTCTTTTTTTTTTTTTTTTTGATTCCTTTTACATCCCCTGAGTTTCCCACCATCCTCTTCTGCAATGGAGGCACTCTGTTGCCAGCAACAGCCATTCCAGCATCAGTCGATAAAGCCAATAGGCATAGTGTTTCCTGAAGTGATTCCTAAAAAGAGGAGGACCTTCCTTGTCATGCTGTCCCCAAACTCAGCCCTGAACCCTTCCCCCTCAGCTATTCTCTTCTTCCCAGTCCTGCAAGAATGGCAGGCATTGAATGGTTCCTTGAGAAGAGAGGACTGGTGATGAGGGAAAGGCTGGCTGGATAGGCAGAGGATGCTGATAATGCCAATTTCTACGGGGGAGGTAAGGAAAGGAGTTGGTTTAGTATCATGGAAGTCCCCAAAAACAGGCTTTTCACCCTGCTTCTTTCTCTCCAAAGATGTTGGCAGTTTCTGGGCTGGCTGGAGATAGGATGAATGATTTGACCACATCTGTTGAGGGATAACTTAAAGCAATTTGAGGAATGAAGATGTAGGCATAGGGCCAAGGAAAAGCAAGCTGTGCGATTTTACATTCTCACACCCCTGTGATTGAAAACGGATGTAACCCAGGGAGTCTGTGGGGGGTCCATGGGGCCCTGCCTGTTGGGATAGGGTTAGGAGAGGTGGGGGAAGGCAGTGGAAGAGAGGAGACGGTGCACTCACCCTGTTGACCTTGAAAGGTGACCTTGGGAGGAGGGGATGTAGTGGGTAGGGGAGACCACACTTGGTTCCCTCCAGGGCTGAGGGCAGAGCTGGGCTGGGGGGAGGCACCTTTGTTTCTGTGCCCACAGTCAGGATCTGGAGAGCAAAGGCCAGGAACCAGCCCCCTGGCTCTGTGAACCTAGCCCACTCACCTTGGGCCATGGCTGGGGGTGTCACCAGCCCAACAGTCACAAGCTTTTCTTTAAGTTCTCCCTGCTCATACCCCTAAGATGAGGCCTCTTCACCTCCCTAGCAGATTCCAACACCCCTACCTCAGGGAAAAGTTCTCCAGCCATCACTCCTCACTTCCTTCTGCCTTTTTTCCCACCAACCCGTTTTGTAATTCCACCCATAGTGGAGGGGTTTTTGTGTAAAAAAGGAAGAGAAGGAGTGGTGTACATGGATGTTTGGGAGAAGAGATTTCCAGACAGAGGGAACGGCTTGTGCAAAGGCCCTGAGCGGGAATGTGTCTGGTGTGTCTGAAGGATCACAAGGAGATGAACATGGATGGAGAGAAAGTAACGGAGGGGACAGTGGCCAAGGATGAGTTAGAGATATGATAGGAGGCCAGGACATAGAGGTTCTCTTAGATCACTACAAGGACTTGGCCTTTCATGTGGAATGAGCCACACTGGCAGGTTTGGAGCATAGAGTGACGT